GGGGTGGGGAGAGTTAGCTCTCTCTCTCTCTCTTTCGAAATACTCTCAAATGGTCATGTACATACAATCATTGTCAGGGATGTCCTACTCACTGTTTTCTCGTGACGAAATTAAGCCGACGAAAAGCGAATCTCCAGCGCTTTAAACAGGTTGGTGAATATAGAGGATCCACCTAGGAGAGTTAAAAAACCGTGATTCCAAACCAATTGTGTACATGATCTCCAGGATCCTGAAAAAACAAATGGCATGTGATCTTATAGTTGGTCACCGGTTACTATGAGACTACATATCGTAACATTGCCCAACTGCCTTGTGGATTAAACCTCTAGGCCAAAGGCTCGGTGACTGAACCTCTAAGAAAACTACTTGTTTTGGTTTGGTCTCTCGGGTAGGATCATTGCCCACACACAAATCAAGTGACTTATGTGATGCATAGGTATTCGGTACCCTTTTGTACGAATATTTATATATTCAAATAAATAAATAAGTGTACATGTACGGTCAGTTTACGTGACTATATTCATTTATAAGAACATGAATATATGCACATATGTATATACTAGAAGGCACAAAACTAATTAGCGTTTATCATATAAATCATAAGTAAATACCTGAAAGACATTCACAATAGAATTATAGAATAGTTTGGTCAATACCTTCTAATAAATTCAAATATATTTATATGTTTAAGGTCATGAGTCAGTTGAAGCTAGACCACCATGAAAAACCTGGAAGCACTGGACGGCCGTTTCGTCCTATTATGAGACTCCTCAGCAGTGCGCACCCAGGACCTCGCCCCCTGAGAGATTCGAACCCAGGACCTACTGGTTTCGCGCACGAGCACTTAACCTCTAGACCACTGAGCCGACATCCAACGGTGTTAATGTCTAACTTCAACTAATCCACGAAATTGAGCGACACATCCATCATTGTCTTCAGTGAGTTACTATCTCACAACAGACCTGGTTGAACTCCATTGGTCACTACTTCTCACTAGAACTCCAGGTTATACCTCTTGAAGCCAGTCACTAGTGAGCATTTGTTGATTATTGTCAGAAGGAGCTTTGTGGAGATTGTAGTAATTTCAATGATTAAGATCATGAGTCAGTTGAAGCTAGACCACCATGAAAAACCTGGAAGCACTGGACGGCCGTTTCGTCCTATTATGACTCATGATCTTAATCATTGAAATTACTGCAATCTCCACAAAACCTTTTCTGACATTTATATGTAATTGTGATTAATGGGACATTTAGTGTAATGAAGAAATAAAAACGTAACTGAAATCGTAATGTCCAAAAATAACCCCCAGAAAATTTGATAATAATATTCAGTTAAAGTCAGATAGATATCAGAGAATTTGATTTGTAATGTCGGTCGGTCAGTCAGTCAGTCGGCTACAACGTAGGACCAGGTACATATATGCATCGATCCAAATTGCCATAACTCATTAGCACAACAAGGTGAATACTAAATTCATAGAACTAGAGACTTCAATAGAAGTAATATATAAAAGAAACGTTGTCTATAAGGATATAGTACAGGAAGAAAGAATTTGTTCGCAGAAAGGAAGATATGAAGTGATTTTAATTTCATGGTTTAAGGGAAGGCAGAAAGTGTATACTCCTATGCCATTGTTATCGATTTTAAGCAAACCATTGGTTATGATAGTCATAGGAACTCCAACCAAGTAATGTGCATCTACCAACATGGTTCAGACTAGAAGTTGGTGACTTTATGGAGTGATGTCACTTTTTAGTGTGACCGCCATTAACTTTCTTCCAACCATCCACAACACTAGTCAGCATTGCACGTCGTGGTAATTGGTGTTCAGGCATACGTAACACATGGCTCAACCACCTCAGTCGATGAAGATTTACGTTCACACATTCTAATGTACAAATTGTTACAAATAAATGCTTAATCTTAAAGAATCTCTAGTTATGAGTTAATTCTAGTCTATTTTAGATGACTAGAAGCAAATTCTCATTACTTTGAACCTTTTCTGAAGAAACTGAATTCATTGGATCTAGTCTGATTATTAAATTAAAATGGTTTAACAATAAATATAATCATAACCATAGGTTGTGATACTAGGATGTCATATTTTTGATCCCTAACAGAATCGTAGATGTACACTGTTAAATAGTCCTGTACTATCGTCTCACGGATCCCAGCCAGAACATATACACCTACCAATATGGCTCAGTTCACTTGTCAGTGACATCATGGATTTGTGCCATGTTTTGGTCTGGTCGCCCCTAGCTTTCTTCCAACCTACTCCTACACCCTGAAACATCGCACGTCTGGGTAGCCGATGGTTGGGCATACGTTACACGTGCCCCAGTCATCTCGACTGATGAAGTTTCATTACTTCACCATTTGATTTACCAACATTGCCTAGTAGTAGCCATTCCCTAACAACCTCGTTACTTACTCAGTGGTCCCAGGATATACGAGCAACGCTTCCCAGACACCTATAATCGAGTACTAGTAACCTACGAATATCCTCTACTCTTACCGGCCATGTTTCACTGCCATAAAGTAGGACAGAACGAAGTGCTGTGCAGTAAACCCGTCCTTTGGTTGGCAGATAGATATCTCACCTACGCCACAAATGACACAAATTGGCAAAAGTTATTCGAGCCATCTGTATCTGTGCTGAGATTTCGTCACACGCCAGACCACAAGTGCTGATGAATCTCCTAAGATAAGTGAAGCGGTCAACACGCTCAACTACTTCACTCGCTATCATTAGTTCAGATGTCAATACAACCCAATCCTAAAGTAACATTTTACGTTTCGAGAGGAAGAATCGTATCGCAAACATGCTTGCATTGTTGCTTATAGTAGTCAGAAGACTCTGCATTTTGTCAGAGTCTTCACCAAGTAGAACTATGTCATCGGCATATTCTAAGTCAATACGTGAATCTCCCAGTAAAAGTTCAACTTCTATACAATATACTGTGCAGTGTACGATTAGACTGTTTGTATGGTGTATTATGTAAATATATTGAAATGTTTTCAGACTAATCTTACGGGTTGTCCTTTTTTTCTCATACTACATCTATAAACTGAATAATACCTAATTCAATGTATCTTAGGTATATAGTACGAATAAACATATTTATCTATTGAAGTTTACCTTCTATGCATACATATTTGGAAGTTGACTCATTTTTCTGAAGATCCATGGAAGTAATAGTTTCATCAGTTTACACAACTATAAAGTATACTTAGATCCAATTGTATAAATGATGCATATTAATTCATTCATTCAAAGACGGCAATGAGACATCGGTTATGAACTTCTTTTGAACAATTCAAACTATTGTCGAGTTCAATGCGTTGAAATGAACAATTTCTGTCGTGATCACTTTGTTATGAAATGACTAAGACAATGTTATTATCATTGGATTATGATCATAATAAGCGAAGTTTGTAATTTAGTCATTTATTTAATTAGTTATATAATATACCCTTGTAGGTCAGGGTAATTTTACATTGATTTTCAGAAGAACCAGACATCATGCAGACGTTTACCTGACAACCTAAACAGTACAGCTCAATCCCGTTTAACAAGAGAGCTAGACACTGACCAGACTTAATATTTATAACCCGAGTAGTACAATTCAATCCTGTTTCACAGGAGAACCAGACACCGTATAAGTTTTAACGCTACAATCTGAATAGTACAGCTTGATCGTATGCAGCAACTACACAAGTATCAAGAACCCTGGTGGACAAAAAATATGTAAAGTTCTCTATTCCACAGACATTTAATATTTTTAAACAGTAATTATTCAGCATTCATATTTACTTATAAATGCCAACCGTAACATTGTTCTTCATTCAAATGAATTCAGCTTTTAACCAGTAGGTTTTAGTCTCAAACATCATTCTAGAAATTTCAGTATGGATAGTTAAATAGTATCATTAGTCTTGGTTACTCAAAGTCAAATACACAGATTTGTACTTCATAATTGAGTACAGAAACAACAATCTTTGCAATAAAATCTATATAGAACAGTCTACTTTTCATTAACATCTGATCTTATTTAATGTGACTCATTTTCACTGCCTTATTGTAGCGGAAGTGTTGTTTACAAAATTCAGAGGACGAAAAGTGAATATCCAGTAATTTATTAAGTTTGATGAATATGGAGGATCCACCTGGAAGAGGTGAAAAACTGTCATTCTAAACCAATGATGTAATACATAGACTCTATGATCTTGAAGGAACAAATGAAGTATGAACCAATTATTGATCATCAGCTACCATGTGATTGTATCTCATGACGTTGTTACACTGGAATAGTTCTTTATGTGAAAGTCTTAATCAAGTCTTAATCAATATTATGAAAAGATAGTAATCATTACATACTTGACATTGTAATGGTTATCATTACAATACCGTCTCCTTCAATGAACATATGATTATATTTAACGTGACTAATCTTCACTAAATTTTTTATGGCGAGGGTATTATTTACGAAATTAAAGAAAAAAAAGCGAATATCCGGCACTTTAACTGGATTGGTGAATATAGAGGATACATCTAAAGGAGTTGAAAAACTCTTCAAGATCCTGAAAAAAAAAACAAATGACTTATGAACCATGTGATTTTATCTCCTGACATTACACCATTACATTGTAGATAAGATGTTTATATCAATAATCTCCAGGTGTGTGACCACCCCCCCCTCCGCATGTATAAGAAAACCACCTATTTTAATTTAAGTAACCTAACAGTATCCTAGTATGCAAAGATGAATAGTGATTAGCAATAGAATCCAGTTTAACGCTCATTTCATCCTATTTGGGACTCGTCATCTGGATAAACCTGTATCTTAGACTTGTTAATATTCACTCTGTGACTTGAACCCAATACTATTCACTTTAAACATCATCACATTATCCACTTATGCTATTGAATCCTGATAATAATAATAATAATAATAATAATAAATTAATTAATTAAATATTGATTAATAACCTACTTGACATTGTAATGCAGCAAATAAACATGCTTCATCATCAGTAACATGATTAATTTCTGATAGAATTGACCATTTAGCTTGTTCATATAATTGATTAATACGTATTAAATCATATTTTATATTTAAATCATAATACATACCATATTTATAACGTAAAATTAATGTTGGTATTATTGAATCATTTTGATTGTTACTATGGTTACTATGATTACTATGATTATGATTATGATTACATAATTTTATCTCTTCATTATTTTGTATTTCTCCTAATAAATTGAATGTATTATATCCTAACATAATGATACCTTGTTCTAATAATGATTTCGATGAATCTAACCATATTGTATTAAATTTTATACGTTCAATATAATTATGTGGTCTTATAATAAAATTTTTTTGTATAGCATCATTTATATTCATTAAAGGACTATAAATTAATGATAGATCATCTAATATACGTAAATTAAATGGTATTGATGAATAATTTAATTGATTAAAATATTTGGAATGACGTCTAATATAATGTGGATGATGTTTATCACGTAGAATTGGTGGACCATATAATTGTATTGAATGTTTTGTTGATACAATAGAATGTTTTCTAGATCTTTCTTCTTCTTCATCTTGTTGTTGTTGTTTTTGTTGTTGTTGTTTTTGTTGTTGTTGTTGATATAATGATTCATTATTTAATGTTTTATAATGTGAATATGTTGTATGAATAGTAGGATTACGTTGAAATGTAGATGGTTTCCTTATATTATTTATATAATTTGGTATAATATGTGAATATTTGATATTATTTTGTTGTATAGGATAACCTAATGATAATTCTTCTGAATGTCTTATATTTAAATAATGACATATAGATAATGTTACACGAAATACTGGTTCAGAAAAATTTATATCCATAAATTGACGTATTTGTAAATCAGGTAATTGTATATTTAATTGTCCATATATAGATAAAAAATGTAATTTACAATTTGATTGTATACCATATTGATTTAATGTTAATTTTGTTTTTAATAACCATTTTGATTTAATTGGCCACCATAAACTATAATTATCCCAATTCATTTCAATTGAATTTTTATGTAAATTAATTTGATTTGTTTTATAGAATAAATTTTTTTTTGGACATATTAAACCATGAATTAAATGACTTATTAATTCTTCTATAGACCATTCACCATAAACACGTATTACACGTTCAATATTTAAATCATGTATATATATAGTTAATAACCATGAACCATCTATATATTCACCATTATTAGTAAGCATATTGTTATAATTCAATTAATCTTAATAATGTTCAATCATTAAATTTATCATATTTATTTTGTTTAAATAAACTATTAAACTAATATGAATGAATGAATTTATTGTTTAAATCTTTCTATATCATAATCATTATAAATCACGTTATTATATACTTGATTTTAATTATTTATGATCAGCCAATCAGAATGAGGGAAATAATTTAACCTTGTAAATAGCCAATCAAGTCAAAGATTGAATACAGTTTTTTTATTGGCTATTTATTGATTATTATCAATGATGAATTTATTGCTTAAATCCTTCTGTATCATAATAGTTACGAGTCACGTGGCTATATCCTTCATTATAAATATTTAGAAAAAAATCATCTATGATCAACCAATCAAAATGAGGGAAATAATTTAACCTTGTAAATAACCAATCAAAGCAAAGATTGAATACATTTTTTTTATTGGTTATTTATTGATTATTATTATAAAATGATATATTTTAATAGAAGAAGGTTAGAATAAGCATTTTGATTGGTTCAATATGAATAGGGATAATAAGAGGGGTTTTTAAAGGTAAGGATAGATCTTCTTTCATCAGGGAATTTTCGGAGTTCTAGTGAGAAGTCGTGACTAGTGGAGTTCTTCCGGATCGGGTAGAGATGGTAGTGCAATTTCGTGGATTGGTTGAGTTTACACATTACCACCGTTGGATACCGGCTCAGTGGTCGAGTAAGTTAAGTGTTCATGTGCTAGACGAAAGGTCCTGAGTTTGCATCCTGCAAACGAGATCGTAGATGCGTACTGATGAGAACTCCCAAAATACGATGAAACGGCTATCCAGTACTTTCAGGTTCACAATGATGCCCTATCATCATCAATCGTTTGAAGATCTCAATCAATAACTAATTTCATTCCCTGGAAACTCAACAATTACCACTAATATCTACTTCATTTAATACTTATTGAACTAAATATATTATGGTCTTGCAATTTATTGATAAGCTTATCATACAAATAATAAACAAATATGAGTAAAGTCATTATCATTTAATATAAACCAGTGGTCACACGATAGGTTATGAGATGAGAACTTTTATCAACCAAAAATGTAATGAGAAATTTCACATAGATTTAGTTATCATATTTTTTTTCTCACGAACTTTTTATCAGTTTATGTAATTAACTAAACTTTAAGGACATCTTATTCCGTATTTACCCATGCACTGTAATGTGTGCTACTTATATCGATATAAGTAGTATATAACTGCAATTGATCAGTGTCTTATTGGCATATGTTCATCCTATGAGAATTGCCTCGATATAGCCTTAAGTCACAAGCCTTTTTAAGCAATGGAATCCAGTTTTACGCATGTTTCGTCCTATTTTGAGACTTGTCATCTGAATGTACCTACATCCAAGAGTTAATGTTCATTCCGGGAGGGACTCAAACCTAGTATCGTTCTCTTCAAACGCCATCGTGTTATCGACTTAGCTACTAAGTCCTGATAGCCACTTGCATGTGCGATGAGGTGAAGTTTAAATACACTTTGTGTTGTTTTACTTGTATCTTCCCATTGTTATTTAGAATTACAATTGATCAATCTCTTATTGACATACGTTCATACAGTGTGTATTGTCTCCATATTGCCTGAATTCACAATCAATCGTTCTAAATAGTACGAGAAGCGCGTTCTACATTCCACTGCTAGCCATTTATCATCTATACTTGTAAATATTAATGTTTAGTAATTGTAAAAGACAATTTTCATAACCAATTAGATAGGGTTCAATACAGAAATGACAGTTGTTCAAGAGTATCTCATTGAATACAGATCATATATTCAGATCCAAACATTTACTTTGCTTAACTTATAGTGAATGGAGAAAAATCATGTCAAGAATACTGTTCGAATCCCAGTCTAACAAATGGTAATCTCAATAACCTATATTTACAAAATAAATAGCTAGCGATATGAGTTCGATACTCATTAACGTATAATCTGAACTAAACACAACAATGGAACCTGTTTATGATTTAAATTAAACAATAATTCATAGATATGATAAATAACATTAAATGACTTATTTCTGGAAAGAGCTGGAAAGGATTGCCCAGGTCAGGGTTGGATTGAGAAGGCTGGTAAGCGGCCTATGCTCCTTCACGTGGAGTAACAGGCAAAAGTAAGTAAGTTAGTAAGTAAGACTTATTTCTGTCTACACCATGACCGATATCGTTCAAGTGTGATTGTACTGAGCTGTGTATTGTCTTGACAGTACCTTATCATTATTGCAGTCAAACTCTATCTATCGTATTCAACCTGATCTATGGGGATTTGCCAATTAAAAGATAAGTTACCTGGTTATGTCACTTCTATGTGTATTTACAAATTCAGTTGTATCAGACAACTGAGCCAATGAGTTAGAGAGTACCTCTTTTTGTGGTTATGAAAAGGTACTGTCAAGACAATACATAGCACAGTTCTATCACTTTTGATCGATAGAGGTCATGTAGTAGACAGAAATAAGTCATTTAAAGTTATTTATCGTATTCTTACTAGTTTTCCTTATAATGTTCGATCTCATCTTTTACACATAGCAGAAGTTATAGAAATTCAAGACAAAAATCCACATCTTTATGTTCATAAAAAATTTGTAACACTCTTATTTCTCCCATGACCTTAATAAATGATTTAATTTATCATAAGGGGTTTTGTGGATATTATAGTAATTTCAATGGTTAAGATGATGAGTCAGTTGAAGCTAGACCACCATGGAAAACCTGGTAGCCTTAAGTCTCAAGCTTTTTAAGCAAAGACGAATAATGGCTAACAGTGGAATCCTCGACGCGCGTTTCGTCTTATTAAGGGACTCCTCAGCAGTGCGCATCCACGATCTCGCCTCCCCCCCCCGTGGGATTCGAACTTAGAACCTATTAGTTTCGCGCGCGATCGCTTAATCACTAGACCACTGAGCCAGTTTCCAACGGTGTTAATGTCTAAATTCAACTAATCCACAAAACTGTGCAACACATTATTATTTTCCTTCACAACCTCCCACTACCCCCCTTCTTTTTTTTCTCTCTCAAATATACACTTCATGATTTAATTATCTGAACACTTCTTATTACGTCATCATGTAATTTTTATAAATGTTATCTTATTGACTCTAGTTTTCTAATCATTGACCTATTTCCGATTATGTAACATTGATTTAAGCCTTTAATATTGCTTATTACTTGAATCTTCCCATTGAGGTTTAAGACTACAGTTGATCAGTCTGATATTGACATATATGCATACTATGTGTATTGCCTTGATATTGCCTTAATTCACAAGCTTTTTGTAAGCAATGATGGATAGTGACTAGCAGTGGAATCCACTTTTACGCGCATTGGGTCGTATTCAGGACTCTTCAGCTGGATGTGCCTGCATCTCTGAGTTGATGTTCACTCTGAGAAAGATTTTTATGATTGATAATGACCAGTAGTTAACTAATCAAAGAATTACACACATGAAATTATAAATTGACCTTGTTTTTTTATTCTTTTGTAGATATCTTAAACTAATTCACCATAGCAACTGATGGTTAGAGACCTTGAATGTGATATGAATCAAAATCGTTTGTAATTATGCAGGTGCATCCACTATTTGAGTTCTCCCGAATCTTCTAAATTCTTCATGTGCCTTTCTTTCTCTTTCTAATGGATGCGTTTACTGTGCAGCAGTTCTCTCCGTCCTAATTTATGGCTGTGAAACATGACCGGTAGGAGTAGATATTCGAAGGTTACTAGTACTCGACCGTAAGTGTGTTTGAATAATTGCTCGTATATCCTGGGACCACCGAGTATGTAAATAGATTGTTAGGGAATGGGTATTAGGTAAGGATGGCAATTCAAATGGTGAAGTAATGAATTTTCATCAGTCGAGATGGCTGGGACATGTGTTATGTATGCTCAATCACCACTGTAACTGATGGTTAGAGACCTTGAATGTCATAGCTCAAAATCGTTTGCAACGGCGCACGTGCATCCACCCTAAGGATAAACAACAGTTGATATGAAATCATCTGAATTGTAATCAAGATTGAGTTCATTTAGGACTCATGCTTCACATTAAACAAGTTTCCCACAAGAAGTAAATGCATTATGAAGATAAATCATCACAATTGGTTGATCACTGGGTGGTAACCAATGTTATGCGTGTCTAGTCCTTATTATTAGTGCAGATCGAATTCTATCGACCATAATGCAATATGGCTACCAGTCTAGGTGACTCGACACTGCAGGGCACTATTGTGAGATTAGATGATGGCTAGAGGTAGTCGACTACCTTCAACCATCATTGAAGATAAATAATATATGCTGCGATATCAGGATATGATTCTTTTGAAATATTTTCCTCAAATGTATTGAAAGATTCTGAGTTTGATTTAACTATGATCTCCTATGTGACTGTATATCGCTTTTCAAAAAAACGTGGATAAAGATAAATGATCATTAGTTATAGTGGAATATATCTTAGTATTACAAATTGACTGAATGTGTTCAATCTTATCACATTTAAAATTATGAAATATACATGAATAAAATGAGTGAAACCTGCTTCATCTTCGTGAACTGTATTGCAACTCCTCAATGAATTATCTATATAATCTTCAGTATGTACTCGATTGGGATGACGTATTAACGTAGTGGAATTCTCGACGTCATGAAGAATCATTTTACAAAAATTCACTCCTTTACCAAATTTGAAATTTGTATACTTAACATTACTTACTTACGCCTGTTACTCCTCGCGAAAGAGCATAAGCCGCTCACCAGCATTCTCCACCCAAACCTGTCCTAGGCAATCCTTCCTAGCTCTTTCCAGTTCTTATTCATTCATTTCATATCCGCTTTTATTTCCCGACGTAATGTATTCTTTGGCCTTTCACTTTTCCGCTTCCCTTCAGGATTCAAAGTTAGCGCTTGTTTCGTGATGCAGTTTGATGATTTGCGTAATGTATATCCTATCCATTTCCATCGTCTTTTCCTAATTTCCTCTTCAGCTGGAAGCTGGTTGATTCTCTCCCACAGTAGGCTGTTGCTGATGGTATCCGGACAATGGATGTTGAGTATCTTGTGTAGACAGCTATTGATAAATACTTG